CAGACTTAGTACATCTATATAATTTCCTTTTGCATGTATGGACTAGGTTTAGCAGCACTGAATTATTTGTATGGCCAGAATTAATGTCAATGATCTGCACTGTAAACATTATACAACATGACACCATATCTCTCTGCTTCATCAGTGAATTAATTACTTTGATTTTACCCTCTGTATGAAATGTGTTACGCAAATAAAGTTGCCTGGCCTTGAAGACAATTCACGAAACATTTATCATTAGAAAGCTCTTATTTGAAACGAGTCATTATTCTGCCCTTATGAAACCCAATGCAACAACGCTTACCTCTTGTGACTGGCTGGTTCACACTGTTCTCATTGTAAAGGGGAGTGGATTTAGCACAGGCAGTAATAGTTGGTTGGCAAGCCCAATACAGGGTGGTGCAGTTGTTAGTGCTGCTGCTTCAATCCCCAGGTTGGGTGTAGGACTTTTCTGCATGGAGTTTGCATGCTTTCCCCAAGTTCATATGGGCTTCTGCTGGGGGCTCTGGTGTCCTCCCCCAGGCCCCATAATTGGTTGAGTGTGTGCACCCTGTGGTGTGTTGGCACCACCTGTGCCTCTTGCCCCCCAGATAGGCTCTAGTCACTCCCCACGGCCCCAGTTGGGATTAATTGGTTACGGTGATGGAAAGAAGGATGGATGGACCAATACAAACACAATGATGGCACTTTTGCTGTGTAACCTAGTTAACAGTGAGCCACTTTGTTTAAGGGCAGACCCATTATTTATACTTATTAGACTGTTAATTTAACAATTTCTTGACAAAACCTTTATTTGTAGAGCATTTTAAAGGAATGTATGTAGAATATATTAATATTTTATATGTGCCTGTGTGAGAGATTGGTATGTGAGTGTGCCCTGCGATGGGTTGGCACCTCATCCTTCGTTTTAACATCTTGTTTATGTAGAAATTATGGTAGGTGTTTGCTGAATGGTGAAAGGTTTTATACTGCAAATTTAAATGTATACATCAGCAAAATCTGTAATTTAGACAGAAAAATACTGTTAATTTTATGGTATTTATTTCATGTGATATTATGGTATTTTCACAGTAAAGTTGAGTGATTTCTACATATTATGACAGTAAAAATGAAAGTTATGTACTGTCTCTTGATTTAGGGTAATTCAATGTATCTACTACAGTGATATACTAGTTTGGATTTTATTATTTTTTACTGTTGCTAGTTTTTTTTTAACCGTAATTTCTAAAATCATTTTTTTCGGCGTAGTTTCCGGTTTCGTTTTCGATGATAACTGTGCTGTAAGTTTCATTATGACGTCGGGTGACGATCCCGAAGGGGGGTGTCTACTCTTATAAAAATTAAATAAATACTGGTGAAAACTAGTGTCTAGGAACCGGGCACAAACCAAAGCCGAAAGATGGATATGCGGAGATCAGAAGGGATACCCCTGAGCGCAGTGAGGGACATCCACGCCGGCTAGTCAAGCTCCATATGCGCCTCTTAATTCGATTAACGCTAGAGACAGCAGACAAATATTTATATGAGATTACATCTTGTCATGGTCAGCTGATGGGTATAGACGTTTATCTAGTACGAGCTAGTAGGGAGTTTACACTCCCGATTGCTACAGATTATGTGTTAATGTTCAATGTTTTGGTTAGACCTGCGTTTCAAAATACTTCAACATAACACCTGTTTCATGCTCGTACACGTTGTCCGCTGTTATTGTTTCCTGTGATTCTATGTAACTGATCGTTGCGCAGATAGTAGGGCACGTTGCATGAGAAATGAGCCTGAAATGATTAGCCTCCTTCTGAAGGTTCGCTTCTTTGCAGGTCAACCCCAAGTTTCTCCACTCAAACTCGACCAGCCACACCTGGCCGTTCAGCGCCGTCGCGGAGTTGATCGGTATGAAGCTCATTATTGCAACAAACATCAAAGAAAGGGACACCACGTATTTATACCGCTGTAGTTTAATATAGGAAATGTTTGTTTATTGTTGTGGTATTAAGTTGTCTTTTACTGGATGTGCTGATGCTACATAAATGTCTATTATTTTGCACCCAGACAATGCATACGACCCAGATGTCATGGCCAAGCAGTGCTGGATTGACTGGACTCGGATAAAGAAGTTTGACTGCCTTACATTTCAGGACAATGGGAGCGGTATGACCAAGAGCAAGATGTATGAGATGCTGAGGTAAATTGCAGAGAGGAAGCTCTCCTTTGCATCAGGTGGTGTCACAGGAAGTGAAACTCTGCTGGTACCACAATCAATGCCTTTAAAACAAAGAAGCTGGTGAAGATTATCACCAGGCCTATGAGTGTTGAGGGAATCGTGCTCTAGCAGACCATTCTTACTACTTTAAAGCTATACTTTTATAGACACGGGGCATAACACAGGTGGGGATAAGAGGTGACGATCCAATTGTGGCTCAGAGACAAGCAACAGTTTAAGGAATTAAACAAAGAACACTGGGGAAAAGCTCAAAAGAACAAAACCACGAGTCACCAAACTTAAAACAGGAAAAACCACTGATTAACAAACTAAAGAAACAACTTAACACAAGTAGGGAGCAGGACCAGGGAAACCAAGCAAAACAACATTAGCACAGACATCTAATACAATGACTGGCCAAAGACCACAACAACCTGGAACTAATGAGAATGGTCAGGTGCGGAACATAAAACAATCAACCAATCACTGAAGGCGCAGGACAACAAGTAACAAATAGGCAATTAACACACCCACTGGAAAGCAGACAATAA